TCCAGCCTGTTGAGGTCCCTCTGGATGGCGGCACAATCCCCTGGCATATCAGCCACCCCTCCCAGTTTTGAGTCATCAGCAAACTTGGTGGGGGTGCACTCTGCGCCATCATCCAGATCTTTAATGAAGACATTAAACAGGACTGGACTTAGCATGGACCCCTGGGATACACGGCTAGTTACACCTCCAACTACATGTTGTCCAACAACCACCATCCTCTGGGCTCAGCCATTTAGCCAGTTTTCAATCCACCTCACTGTCTGCTCATCCAGCCCATACTTTTACAGACTTTCTATGGGGATCTTACAAAAGGCAGTGTCAAAAGCCTTAGTGAAGTCTAGGTAGACAATATCCACTGCTCTCCACACATCTACCAGGCCAGTCACTTCATCCTATGAAGTTGTTCAAGCGTGACTTCCCCTTGGTGAATCCATGCTGACTACTTCTGATTATTTTCTTGTCTTTCATGTGCCTGGAAATGGTTTCCAGGATTAGCTGCTCCATCTCCTTCCCAGGGATGGAGGTGAGGCTGACCAACCTGTAGCTCCCTGGGTCCTCCTTCTTGAAGAATGGAGTGACATTTGCTTTCCTCCAGTCTTCTCCCAGCCACCACGACCGATCAAAGATTAATGGGAGTGGCCTCACAATGACATCTGCCAGCTCCCTCAGCTCTCCTGGGTGCATCTCATCATGGGCCAGGGACTTATGGATGTCTGGGGTTCTTAAGTATTCCCTGGCCTGATCCTCTTCCACCAAGGTTATGATCTCCTTGCTCCAGATTTTCCCCTGGTCTCTAGGGCCTGGGATTCCTGAAGGCTGGTCTTGCTAGTAAAGACTGAGGCAAAGAAACCATTCGGTACCACAGCCTTTTCCACATCCTGTGTAACCAGGTCCCCCATCTTGTTCAGCAGTGAGCCCACATTTTCCCCAGCCTTCTTATGTACCTAGAGAGGTCCTTCTGGTCTTTGGTATCCCTTGCCAGATTCAATTCCAGTTGAACTTTAGCTTTCCCAACCTCATCCCTGCATACAGAGATGCTATCTCTTTATTCCTCCTAGGTCACCTGCCCTTGCTTCCACCTTCCATATGCTTCCTTTTTCATGTTTGTGTTTGGCCAGGAGCACCTTGTTCTTTCACGCAGGCCTCCTGACATTTTTGCCTGAATTCATATCTGTCAGGATAGACCACTCCCGAGCTTGGAGGAGGTGATCCTCGAATATTAACCAGTTTTTAAGGGCCTCTCTTGCCTCCAGGCCTTATCCCATATGACTCTTCCAAGCAGATCTTTGACGAAGCGGAAGTCTTGCTCTCCTGAAGTCCACGCTTGCGAGCTTGCTTTTTACTCTCCTCCCTCCCCTCAGCATCCTGAAGTCCACCATCTCATGGTTAATGCAATCCAGGCCTCCTTCAACCTTCACATCCCCAATAAGCCCCTCAGTGCTGGCGAGTATGAGGTCCAGCAGAGTACCTCTCCTCGCTGGCTTCTCCATCTGCCATTTCAATCATTCCTAAAGGTGGATCAGGTTCAAAAATTCCACTTCTTTTAGTATTGCAGAGCAGGAGGATGAGAAACAAGTATATCAAAGCCAGAGCTGCAAAGCCACAAACCCATCCTTTACAGAAACTGAAGGCCCAGAGTCTCATGGCAGAATTCTGAAATACATCCCTCAGAATGCACGAAGACTACAAAAGGCGAGCTTGCACTGCACATCCAAATCAGTGTGAATGTAAGTGGTGGGACGGACCAATGAGTGATATTAGCTTGCATGCAACTGTGAAGTGTCCCAGAAGCACACAGTTTTGCTCAAAAAGTAACAAACTGACAATTAACACTAATAGAAACAAATGTTGATGTGAAATCATGACTTTCCCATCTGGTTGCCAAACAGCACTCATCTTTCTAAACCTAAATGTACTCCACCACTCCACAGCAATTTCTGCGTTAGGTCTAGAACTCAGTTTCCATGGGCTGCGCAGCACACCTAAAGGCACATGACATAGTCAAAACTTTAGAATAGCAGTTTTCAAAAACCTCTACTGAGAAAGGATTGACAATACGATTTTGAAATTTTACATGGGATGAACTTGCATGCACATACAATAACCCAAATATAAACCTCCTGGAAGTTTGGATCCAAGCTTAGGAAGACAGCAAAAAGTAAACTGTTTTTACTACAATTCCCTTCAAAGTAAGTTTAAAATACCGCATCTTTTACTTGCTGGGAAGTAAGTCTGAAAGCAAGGTCTAAAACTAGCAAAAGCTTCAGAAGAACTAAGAAGTTCATTTAAGGCTAAGTTATAAAAAGGTTTGTAAGGACAACCAGAAAGACATCCTTTCCACAGTGCAAAAGTCTACCTATGCATTCATTTAGAGACATTTCAGATGGCCTTTAGGATGGACAGATTTGGCAGCTTTTTAATTTAATTTTACAAATGGCCCTGCAAGAAATAAAAGCTGCTTTTGCTCACCAACACAATTATATAAAAGGAAATTTACAGATATTCAGAATGACTTTGTGGAGTATGGATAACTGAATAAATTAAAACTTTTCCTGAGGAAATAAAATCAGGAAGAGGGCAAGAAAAGTTCAACTTCACTACACTGAGTCTGTGTCCTTCCAGCTGCTTTTTCTGCTGGAAGGCTTCTAGAAAAACTCAGGTGGGTAGCAACTCTCACTGGTCCATGAAGGGACAACCAAGGGGATCCTGAATCTAATGGAAATTCTTTTGTGAATCTTCAAGTCTGATCCATCAGCACTAGTCACCTTTTGTCCATACTACATAGGACTACTTTCTGAAAATATGAATTTGCAGAAATTCGTATCTTCTGCAAATGACTTTGGTGCAAAGTCCCGATATTCACGTAACACATGCTGTCTTCTATAACTCATTGTCTCCATACATGCTATCTGATTTCCAAAGGAGAGCACTTACCTTTCAATAATTGCTCTCCGCATAGCTTCTTGGCTATATGGACACTTCCCCACTATAATTGCTGACAGATACACTGGATACTGCAGGAAATGCATCAGAAGAGCTCCTTGACACCCTAACACATTCCAGCGAGCCAGTTTATCACTGCAGGACATGGAGCATGTTCTGTCCCCACGACCTGGCTTCATTCGTAACAATCCCACACGGTGATATTCCAGCCCAGGCATTCGGGCATCACCCAGCTCTCCAGGTAGACATTTTGCTCCGGTTCTATAAATATCTACTACCTTCGGTCTCCCTAAGCCAGTCTCCTTATTTGCTGTTTGAATTTCTGCAGAACATTCAAAGCTCTTTGGATTTGTGCTCCCTTCCCATTTCACAGATCCTTGCTGAACAGCCAGGTCTTCAGTGATTACGGAAAAATAACCATCATCATCAGTTCTCATTCTCTTGATTATATGGTTACTTGCCACTTTCTCTGATTTCCTTTTATCTTCTGGACCCAAATGATCATGGTTACTTCTACACTCTGTTGATTGTCCAGCTGCAACATTTTCAGTCACTGACTTAGAAAACTGGTTCTCTGGTTCACTAATTGGAATAATAGAAGCATCTCCGCCTAGAACAAAAAAAAATAACACCAAATTGGCTAAAAACCTCTCTCTCATGACTGGAACACATCACACCAGTAATGTAAATATTACAACTACTACGAGCTTTCAAAGATTTGCATTTAGGAAAATTTAACAACAAGAACACACTTTTCAAACAGCACTGCCCTGTACAATGATGAATCGGACTCCGCTGAAATTTGAGCCAATATACATTTAATTTCAAGTTTTGCATTCCACCTAAGAAATAATCAAAAAAGCAAAATTAAAACAAAAATTGTAAAACAGAAGGCGTCAAAGGCATTTGACAGACTACAAGCAGTGCTGAAGACTCACAGGAAAAGTAGTCTGATCTAACTAAACAAAACAAACCTCAAAAGAATAACTGAAGAATAACCTATCAAATAAGGATGGAAATTTCAATCTGTATCACTAGAACAAGTTCAAAACCAAAATTCTGTAGCTCTGTCTAAAGCAAACAAAGCCTGACAGGCATGTGAGAAAAAGGCAGTCAGGACACCATTCTTGCTATGAAATTTGAAGATGTAGATTCTCATATTGCATTAATGAAGAAAATCATCATAGCATATTCCAGTAATGCCATCAGAATCATGACAATGTATGAGCAACTAATTCATTATGTGAAGAACTGATGAGGCATATTTTGAGACTGCTTAGACTTCTTTGCTCTGGCAACAGACTAGCACACTGGTAAGAGTATAGCAACACTGAGATGTCTGATAAGCTGGTAGACCAAGAGGTCGTGTTCCTACATTTGCCAGTAGATCCTCATCTTTGCAGTGCTGGGTTTTTAAAAACACACAAAGACCGTTTCTCTTGACAAAACAAAAAGTTGCTTCCCATTCCACAAAGATATTCTGGGTTAGGGAGGTGGTGGTGTTTTGGGGGGGGCCGGGTTTGGGACTTTGGTTTTGGTTTGTTGGGCTTTCGTGTGTTGGTTTTGTTTGGGTTTTTTTCCCGTTTGTTTTTTTGTTTGGTTTGTTTTTTGGTTTTGTTTGGTTGGTGTTTTTTTGGTGTGGTTGGGTTTTTTTGGTTTCGTTTTGAGGAACTGTGGTAAAGGTCAATGGTTTTTCTTAAAATTTGAATCCAAGGAGACAATGTTTAAAGCAAGGCAACCAGGAGATAGGATAGAACCTCTGGCAAGTATGTTAGTTTCTGGAAAACAATATAGTAGCCATTATTGTTTAAATACAAAGTGAAGTATTTCACTATATAACGAGCAGTACATCAGATTTACAGAGTGCTCATGAATCACATCCAGCCAGATAAAATGCCAAATTTATCTACGGAGGACCAGTCAAGTACATCTTAGGGCACATACTCATAACAAGAGTTACTGCCTCACTCTCACTCCAGAAGAGAGACCACAGAAAGGCAAGGGGCAGAAAAGATTCTGCAAGTGGGAGCTATGAAATTGGTTCACTCCAGCATACTCACATGGGGTATGACTGGTGAAGAAAACGAATAAGATATTTGGTTTGAGTTTCCATTTCCCAGTTTCAGTTCCTGGAATAAAGATACTGCATTGCTGATGGGAAGCTGCCAGCCACATCTGATGGAGAAGATACCTGTTAGGCAGAAAGTTTTCATGAAACATTTACTTAAATTTTGATGCATGGAAAAACAACAAAAATTCGATGCTGTCATGGTTTAACCCCAGTCAGCAACTTAGTACCATGCAGATGCTCACTCACTGCCCTGCTACCCATGGGATAGGGACGAGAATCAGAAAAAAAGTAAAATCCATGAGTCAAGGTAGCAACAGTTTAATACTTGAAATATTGTAATATTAACAATAATAATAGTAGTAATGAAAAGGGAGATAACAAAGAAAGAGAGAGGAATAAAACCCAAGACAGACAAGCAATGCACAATACAGCTGCTTACCACCCACTGACCGATGCCCAGCCCGTCCCCCAGCAGCAATCAGGCTCTCCTGGCCACCTACCCCAGTTTACATGTGGGCATAACGTTCTATGGTATGGAATATCTCTTTGGCTAGTTTGGGTCAGCTGTCCTGGCTGTGCAACCTCCCAACTTCTTGTGCACCTCCTCACTGGCAAAGCATGGGAAGCTGAAAAGTCCTTGACTTACAGTAAGCGCTACTTAGCAACAACTAAAACATCAGTGTGTTATCAACATTACTCTTGTACTAAATCCAAAACACAGCACTGTACCAGCTGCTAGGAAGAAAATTAACTCTGTCCCAGCCAAAACCAGGACAGATGCCCACTAGTGCCTGTTCTTTCCTGGCAAGAGTCTATGAGAAGCCAATCAGTTATGCTTCTACAGATAGATGGGATCCAACATACTCCATAAACACAAACACATCATTGGAACCTTAATAACAGATCTCAAACAGTTGGATTCAGTGGAGTTAACTATCTCTTCAAATTGTGTATCTAAGGTCCCCTCCTCCCACTGTGTATTTTTACCAGCACTGCAACTCATCTGATATTGTGAGAGCCAGTTAGTGGCATCAAACTGCAAGAAACGTACACAATTCTGTAGCCTTACTATTCTCCTGGCTCAGTTCCTTGAACCAGTTTATCCCATGTGAACAAGAGGACTGATATGTGGGAAACAGCAAAAAGGCTACCCTTGACAGCCAGTCATCAGACCAGCATTAATGTCGCATGAAATCAGATCTTACTTCTTCGTACAGAGGCTCTACAAGAATGAGGAATAAACAAGTTTTTGTGAAAGGGCCTTAAGAGCACCTAGAAGTATAAAAATTAGGTTTTTATTGATATTAAAATATTAAACTCCTGCTAACAAAGGGAAAAAAAGCATTGCCTACACACAAGTAATACTGTCTCTTTCATTTCATTCTCAACCCTGAAACTGCAAAATCTGGCTATTTCAGCTACAGGTCAAAACCATTTGTACCACAACAACTAACCTCAAGTGGCACTGAATAACAGCACATGAACTTCACACCTCACCTCTGGAAGCTTCTCTTGGCCACAATTTCAGCATGACTGTCATTCAGAATGTCTCCTAAAGCAACAACCAAATGAGAACAATGCACTTGATTACTGAAAAGGAGATGAACAAAGGAAACAGAATTCGACAGATGATGGTTCTCCAGATTTGTTTGCATTTGAAGGTTTAACATTGGTATTAGGTTACTGAAAGAGATTTAAACTCCCAATCACTGCAAAAGGAGGTCAATAGCCTACACAAATAAAGGATAAAAGTCTTCACTCCGCAGCACATCAGAAACTTTTTTAAATACCAAAGTTTCTTGTTGCACTATGTCCTACAATTTAAATTACTTTCCTTGTAAATAATTATAATATTTACCATGTTTACACATCTCATCTTCAAACCTCCTGCAGTGTCTGCCTATTGCAGTGTCTAAAGAAACAGAACCTGTAGATCAGCTTTTATTTCAAGTAAAAGGCCAGGTGATAAAAGTCCTCTTTAACAGTTCTAAAAGTTTGAAGTTTAAAAGCTCTCTAACAGATAACCATTAATATGACTTACCAACCAAATGAATTTAAAAAGAAACAAACATTATCATGACAGGAAAATATTTTCTGAACATAAGATCACTGAAAACAAATAACAGTCAGGAACTAGCTTTACTTTTTTCTAGTCAAATTTCTACTTTCACTCTCAATACCCAGATTGTAAGTAGTACAACAGTTTAATCACAATTTTCCTAAATCAGTCAGAAAAATGTCTGTACTAATACTCTTCTAAGAGGCTAAGTCACAATAAACATCCACAAAAATCTAAGATACGGCATTTAGTTTCTTCTCTTTTGTGCCACTAATTCATTTCAATATGAAGGACGTTATACAGAACACTAAAGAGCCTAAACCTGATGCATGCAAAACCGTTTCTCCTATCTTGCTCTACTCCTCCTCTGAACTCTAACGAAGGTAGAAAGCCCTGTACCTACATAGTCACAAACACGTTTCCTCCTCAGTCACTTTTCAGCATTAATTACTATGCCTTCTCCCCTCTCCTAGGAGGGCAGATAGGTACATTCTGAATAAAAAAATGGACATGCAGAGCAAGGAAAGTCCTACAATAAATGGCAAGAAACAGTAGCTGTGAGAAGTCATGTATCTATCCTGTACATTTACTGCACAAACGCTTAAAACTACCTAGCTGCAGAAAATACAGTAAGTGAAAAAAATCCTGTTAGTACCTTTCTGGTGTCACCCCTATCCTAACTCAGCAGTGGTATCTTTTGCATCAGACCACAATAAAACCAGACTGTAACAGGTGACTGAAGTACAATTATTTCGCTTATGTTTTGCTTTTAGTTATGAAGTCTCTGGGTATGCAGACTCGGAGTCAGAACTACACACTTCCACATATTCTAGTTTGCTTGGCTCTTGGGTCCCAAACAAAACTGAATTTTTCATAGGTCTGTGTTTCTGGGAAGGTAAAGGGTTAGTGCTTCATGTCTGATTTACTTTAGGTCATTTCAAAGCCTGTGGAAAGTATTAAGAGGCAAGAGATTCAATCTGTCTAACTGGAAGTTTAAAAGGGAGAAAATGTGGGGCTTAATCTCCATTTTGCTCCTATTGTTGATATAATTGTTGTTATATGATATAAAAAGTTTATTCACTTTTAAGGCAGCAAGTGCAGCAAACTTTCAGGGGAGTCATTCTGGCTGCCTAAGCCTCTCTCTTCTCGATAAGGTGAGGTCTGCCTTACACTTCTGGCTTCAATCCAGAAGTCTGAGTTCAATGCCTTGGACATTTTCTTTGATTCTATGACACCAGCAAGAAAGAAGGGCGCATAAATAGCCTGTTCTTGGATTTTACAGCATACTTACCAGTTTTTCTCATTTTGTTTTGCCCAATACATTTTGTTCCAGTTCCCATGGCAACAACTTCTTTTCTTACTGAAAAAAGAAACATTAACTGAACAAACTACCACCAGAAGCATTACTCTCCTACAGTCATTCTGGTAAGACAACACACAGAACATTGCGTAGAATGGAAAGTACAGGGAAGCAGGCCATGCGACATTCCAGAAAGGAAACTGCATCAGATGGAGAACTGAACATAGCAGGCAGAAGCACCAATGCTAGGAAAAGTCTATGATTCCACAGTAGGAGGGTTAACACATGCTTGATACGCTAGGCAACACACAGTGGACACTGGCATAGGATTCCTCAAACACGTAAGAAAGAAGCATGGGATACAATCCACATGACAACATGGAAGTGCCGGTAAGGGAAAAGAAGCTGATGGTGAACTAACACAAACACACAGTGTAGTAGCACAGTCTGTTAAAGGAAAGCAAACCAAGGCCTTTCTAGGATTCTTTCAAATAGTACCTGAACACATTTTTACAAGGGTTTACATTAGGAATTCAGGTCCTGTCTAGATTTTCACCACTTATTGAACAGTCAAATACAGGCTTTCATCTTCTCAGTTACAGCCTGGGAAGAACAGCACTTCACTATAACCATCTCTTTCCAGACAGAAGCTGTAAAGGCTTTTACAATCACAAAGCGTAAAGAATCCATGTGGAGACAGAAATGGGAGAGGAGGGGTGTGGGGTTTTTTTAAAAGGTATCTTGAAAAAAAATAAAGGAAAAAAGAAAAAAAAAAGCATCAAGGACTGGCACCTCCTCTCCTCCTTCCCTGCCCTCCCACCCCAATCCCCACAACTCATTCTTACCCTGTACATTCCCTGGACTAGCAAGAACCTCTCTTTGGGCTGCAGACTCCACTTTGACAACGGCTGCCAGTGAAGTCCATTCCCTGTTTGGATCTGGTTTCCCCTGCTTAGGGAGTCTGGTCCTATAATGCAGGTAACATAGCTCAGCAATTTCATCAGCTGACCACATGGCTCCTGAGGCAAGTGTAGGTTCTAAACAGAATTGGATTCCATCACAACACTGATTAACAAGCCCCATCTCTTCAAACCCTACTGCCTTGTTCTGCATGACACTTTCCTGCACCAGATTCCAGTATCCAAGGCCTAACCGCATTATCCATTTCAGGATGATTTATAAGAAATATATAACCTGAAATAAAAAAGTTTTTTTTCCAAATCACTAGGAATGAAAAACAATGCCAGAACCCTTATAGTCCAGCAGCAGGTGAGACCGCTGGTTTCCCAAGGTGCCCACTACGCAGCACTGAACAGCATGCATCACACCACCGTCCCCGTGCGGTCCCCGCATCACATCTGAGCCGCCTGGCACCACCGCACTCATCCCGAGGTCTCCGGGCCTCCACCCTGTCCCGGCGACCGGGGAACGCAGAGCTGCACGGTCGGGACGGCCAGCGCCCCGCGAGAGCTGCTGTAGCGCTGAAGCGTACGCCACGCCGCCCTCGGCACAGGCCCCTACCCTCC